CCCGTACCCAGGCACCGGCGTTTGAACGACGCACGTGCGACATGGGATGAAGGAAGCGGGTCAGCATACCGTGGACTTGGCTCATGGATCGCCTGAGGCCGGCATTGGGGGAGGAAGGCTAAGTAAGGTTTCCAGATGTCCAGGTGACATCCGTCGCGTACACCAAATCTGCGCATCGCAATGACGAGAGTTGTGATGATTGAAGTGGAAAGGAGTGTTATGGTCCGGCAATTGACCGAATTGTGTCATGGCAGTGGTAGGTGACAGCGGCAGATAATTGAGCTACGGTTGAAGTTGCGGATGATGGCGTTGCTTGGCGCACCGCTCAGCTCCCCACGAGCGCGACAATGAAATTCCTACGTTAGCGTCGGTGTCCACATGTCAGTACCATTTGCGGCACATTGCCGAGGTCTTATCGTAGTGCCACTTCCCAACCTCCTACAAGACGCACCTCTGCTTCCCACCTACCCTCCCAGGACACCGCATGCAAACCTCGTCACGAACGCGGTGTACGTCATCGGCGCTGTCCGGATTTTCTCACGTATCTGAGTATCGACACAACCCCCATTCCTGCGACGGGTGACTTGTCAGCCTGACGCGGCTGGTCTGCCGTCCTCGATCACCGGCGTCTATCAGCCACTTTATTGTAATTTGGGTACACGCAGCGCACGTACCGAATTGCGATAGATACGCATTGGGCATATGCGAGCGAGCGTAGCACGCTTCGTAATGCTCTAAGAGTGTTCGTCAGGGTTCATGCTCGTAACCACACTTTCGCATTCGATCTTCTTCCAAATACCAAATGTCGGCCACTTTTGCTTATGCGGAAAGGATTTTGGGTGGGCGAACGTTCAGACTTCTCACAATATTTCCTGCGCTCGATGAAGAGGAGCCATTGCGATGCGAATGCCGCTCTTTCAATATTGACCAGGCACCTCAGTATGAAGCGCTGTCTTATGTGTGGGGTGCACCAACACCACGTGCCAACGTATGGTGTAATGGTCAGTATATCGAAGTTGGACCATCGCTTTCGCAGGCCTTGAGAAGGTTACGTTATCGAGAAGCTGAGCGCATTATCTGGGCGGATGCAATCTGTATCAACCAGGCGGATGACGCAGAGAAGAGTCATCAAGTGCCGATGATGGGTAGTATTTACTCCTTGGCAAGAAGAGTCGTTGTCTGGTTAGGGCATGGAGAAGCGCAACAGACCCAACTCTCGTTCGAGACCAGTAAAACGATCGCCGACGCTTGCCATGATTACGATCGAAGGCATAACATAACTACGGATTATGCAGCGAAACATGAAGATGCTGAGCTGCCAGAAGGGCTGCTCCGCCCACTCGTGTTGAGCAGTCTCAAGGAACTGTACGATCGGCCCTGGTTCTCCAGGATATGGTGTATTCAAGAGATTCGCTTAGCCACAGATGCTCAGATCATCTGGGGAGGTGACGAAATCTCTTGGTCGGACCTAGCTCTGAGTGCCTCATACCTTTTTGACAAGAGCAATAGAACAGGGCAAGAGAAAGGCGGCGACACTGATGTATCCGTACTGCATCAGATCGAAGCTCAAAGCGCGGATATGTTGCGTGACAAGAGCATGTACCACCTCCTCGATGCATTAGATCATTTCCGCATGTTTGAAGCCTCTAACAACAGAGACAAAGTGTATGGCCTTCTCAACATTGTCTCGCCAAGGTGCGAAGTCGATGCCTTAGGCGTAGATTACGCAAAAAGTATTGGTGAAGTATACGCCGACACAGTCTTGGCTGTTATCAGACTATACTCGCGATTGACCGCCTTTGCCCACATTACACATCCGGTCGACTATGAAGGGCCTGGTCTTGATGACTATGAGAACCCCAAGGAATACCCCGGATATTCCGAATACAGATCATGGGCTCCGCGATGGGATGACATTGCAGTTGCGCAGAAGCTGGGAGCTGAAGATGACTGTCCTTGGAGCGCGTGTGGACAACATGTAACTGCTAGCACCGTTGCGTATCCATCTCAACCGACCTATCTCTGTCTTGAGGGCGTAGTCTACGGAAAAGTTCTTGAATGCGGTGACGTGATGGACTATCACAATCGGAAGCTTCTTGAGTTTGCCAATCATCCCAAGCATGCCGATGATGATGGAGTTATCGGCGGAGATACTCCGGATACAAGAGCTTCCATCCACAACCAAATCAAGATACATCCAATTATCCAAGCTGTGGCAAACACAGGCAAAGAGTCAGGCTCAGAACGTTTCATTAGAACGTTGACAGCAGGGTGCTGGGGTAGGACCAGTGAACATGTTCAATGTTTGGACAGGAAGGACCAAGCAAGGTTTTATAGAGCTGGCTCGGAGTTCTTGCTGAGATTGACACTATCGCTAGAGCTTGGAGACGAAGTTAGGTACACACGCGACGCCGACGTATCTCAATTTCAGGTAGACACTTTGTCCGCCTGCGAACAACGATGCCTGTTTTGGACAGAGAGAGGCTCATACGGCCTGGGTCCACATTGTATGTGGCCCGGTGATATCGTGGCAGTGTTGTACGGTGGTAACACACCCTATGTGCTGCGACCGAGAGGAAGCGAGTATGTATTCATGGGTCAGGCTTACGTCGACGAAATCATGAACGGAGAGGTATTTCAAGGTTCAGCATCAGATACACTGCAGGAGCAGACATTTTGTCTTATCTAGGTAATGCTATAGTCGATGATCAAGGAGGCGGAAAGCTTCAACTGCAATGCTCCTGTAAAGTACTCAATCTCCAAGTGGTAGCGATTGCAGCCCTCAAGGCGCTTTGATATGACTAGCGTCCCCGTCGCTACCCAGACCCGTCGTTTCCTCATCAGAACTCGTCCGCTCTTCATGCTCAGATGCCCGACCACCCTGTCTCTTAGCCAACTCTCTCGCATAAAGCAGTCGAATCGTAAGCGCAGTCGCAATCAGCGCCGCACTCAAGAACGCAACCGTAATAAATCCCTTCCGATACTGCGGCGCCTCAACCTGCCTCCAAACAAGAAGCGGCAGCCAAGCCTGTATCACATAAGCCATCTCGTTCATAGCCGCGACAACAATGGCTCTCTCTTCGTTATCGTGTGTGCATATCTCGTGTGCCCATGCAAAGCACAAGCCAGAGAGACCGCCACCGAAACCGGAGAGGATATAGCAAGCCCACTTCCACTTGATGGGGATATCCCAGATTGCGAGGCTGGTGGAGCAGATGATGTTCATGCAGCCGCCGAAGACGATGGGTTGCCATCTGGAGCCTTTGAGGATACTGTCGCTCGTCCAGGCGTATAGTAGTGTTGTGACGACTTGCACGGCATTGGTCGTTGTCGGGTACTGCCCATATCGTCAGCACTGCTCCTCCTTGCGACGATATGGTGGAACTTACGGTATTGATCTCACTGACGGTATACTTCGGGTCCTTACTCGCCTTGAGGAACTGCTGAAAGATCGGCTGCGATCCCATACTAGCGTTATTGAAGAACACATAAAGCGGGACGAGAGCCCAGATGTGCCAGGAAGTAAAGATCTTCCGTATCTTGGCTCGGGTATATGGCTTCCGCTTCTGCCGGCCTTCGAGTCGCATGCGCTCCTGCGCAAATGCAACCTCCTCTTTGGTCAGGTAGAAGGGCTTCGAGATCTCTGGTAAATCGGGCAGACAGAAGAAGCCGAGGACCGCGATAGGGAGAGAGATTATCCCATCCACGATGAAGAGCCATTGCCAGCCCCTGAAACCGCCTTTGCCGTCGAGCTTGTACACACCGGCCATCAGGTAACCGGAGAACATGGTCGCGATGGCACCGCTGGTGTGGAAGATACAAGATCTCTTGGCGAGCTCTTCCTTCCGGTACCACGATCCGATGATGTATTGCATGCCTGGGTAGAAAGTGCTCTCGGCAAGGCCGATAAGGAAGCGTAGAGCGTAGATTGTTTCGGCGTTGTTGGCACGGCAAAGGCAGAACGTCAAGACAGCCCAAGTAAGCTACCGGTGTCAGTACTCACTTCCTAACCGAACGGTGTTGCAGAATCATACCTCCATTGCGGGTATCCAAATCGACGGTCGAATGCGAGTCAAAATGATGTTGCTGGGTATCTCGCCGATGACATAGCCCACAGTCCAACAAGTTTGCATATAGTTGAGCTGGTTGCCGTAAAGCCCAAGATCTTCCTTCCTACCCTGATGTCAGCCAGGCATCGCTAACGGAGGTCGGATACATACATTCCAGAGACAAAAGCGCTGTTGATGTTCATCTGATCAAGGTACTTGATGAAGTACCCCAACGACGCGAAGGTGAGTAGAGCGGCGTCGAGCTTGAACATGAACCATCGCTCTTCTTTCGGCTTGTCCAAGGTATCCCAGAGGTAGTAGTACCACTTATGCGGCTTCGCCTTCAGCTCTTCGTTGGTTTGGATGACATTTGTAGCTGTGACTGCTTCCGTCGAAATGTCCTGAAGTTGACCCATCTTCGTGAGGCTTCAGTGTGAAGCATGTGTCTGGTCTCTGAAGAGGCACCGGCACAAGCCTCAGCTTTATTGAACAAGCAGCACAAGGCCTTCTATGCCATCGCTAAGCATCGTTTACGAGGTTACCCGTTCAGCATGGCGCTCGGCGCGTCAGTGGCGAGTCGATACTGCGCCGTAGGATTCGTAGCGCGATTCGACATACTGGGGCTGGTATGGCGTTATGACAGGGTTCGCGTGGGGTTTGTGCGACATGTAGACAGTCTAAATCTGATAAGCACGAGCGTGAATTTGCGTTTCCGGTGTTTGTAGGCTCAAGATCGTCGTGATGCATGGGAGTGGTGTGGCGTCATGTGTCGTGATCAGGCATGCAGATTGCGTGCCTGAGTCGCGCAATAACCGTGCCGAAAAACGCGGAGAATCTCAACACATTTCATTTGATCATGTGACTGTAGAAAGCTCCCGAGGTCGTCTGCACTGCTGGCTCTCTGCGCGGATTGATCTTTGCGATTGAGACATGTTGTATTCATCCAGTATATCATATACACGTCGCTTCAAATCGCTTCTCACGTATGGGGTTAGCAAAGAAAGCCTTCATCCTCTCAAGCTGCTCTGCCCTTGCGCGGTGCCACTTCTCGGTATGACCATGCAACTTATCTTTACCGGCTTCTTGTAGATCAGCATTGACCCAGTCCATAAGCTCGTTGACATAGCTCGCTTCTTGATCCCGCAGACTATGAAACGACTTGCCATAACCTTTACTCCCCACGCGTGCGTTGTACTCCGACCGCATAACATCATTGCTGGAAAGCTTGGCCTGGCCTGAGAACACCTTTGCAACAACCATAGCTTGAAACTCGAATAGCGTGAAGGTGGCCGTGAAGAAAGGCACTCCAACAAAGGCCAGGGTCGGATCGTTGATGTAAAAGATGTCTTTGTGTAGATTGTGGAATTGTGTACCATCCGTCACCAACACCGCGTCGTCGGCACGCTCGACTGGCGTCTCGTCCGAGGTGAGCTGTGGTAGGAAAGGTAGGGTGAGATAGTAGCCAGTGCAAAGTATTACATGGTCGATGTCACAGATCTTTGCGCCTGATTTCAATGTGACGGTTGCCGGAATCGCTTCGTCGGGGTTCAGTGACGCTGATGCATATGCATTCGCACGTGGCTCGTCGTACGATGCCACCTCTTCGATGCGAAATGCATTGTCGGGAAGCATGCTGGGAGGTAGATCAAATTTGCCATTCCTTTGGCTCTGTAAGATCTTGTTTGCGTACGGGCTCAGTTCGCGGGCAATGTCTGTTGCGGATACACTTGCACCGACAAGTAGATAGTTCTGGCATGGTATCAGATCACAACGACGCCGTTTTGCTCAGACTGGAGCGCACGTACCTTATCTTGGGCATTATCGGGCCTTCGGTAGCTTTTCGAATGCTGTACTCTACCAGGAAATCGTCGCTTCCACTCTGCCAGTCCAGGCGTGTCAGGAACTCTTGGTGTGTGGTAATGACCAGAGGCAATCACTACAGCATCAAAGTCCTAACCCAAGATTAGCAACCTGCAGGTGCAGCCAACATGAGGATGATACTGACATTAGAGGATATATGTCGCTTTAGCACACCGTCCAGATCTTCTTGCAGAGTCACAGTCTCGACCGTCCACGATTTGCCGTTCTTCGTAACGCGTCTCACGTCGGTGTCGTACTGTGTTAACCCATGCACCCCCGTCGAGGCAGCAGTAGCTTGTATATAGTCGCACAAGACTTGATGCGTCACATAATCCTCAGTCCCAGGCGGGAACGGATTCAAGGTGGTCTCCAACAAGCGCGTGCTCACGTTGTTCTTCAGGCCCACATAGCATGGACTGCGTGTGACCAGTCAGTCCAGAGCAGCGTTTAACGATTGTTTTTGCAGGACTTACCCAGGTGGCGCATGAAGCAGTCTCTCTGTATCCTCCGTCTCCTCCGTCGCATGGACACTATCGGCTCTGGACACTTTGGTTCCCGAATACGGTGGTTCCAGGGGCTTTCGCTCATCGTAGAGCCTGCTAAGCTGTCAGTCCTGTCTGAGAAGCATGAAGTTGGACCGGGTACCAGATGCCTCCTGCGGCACTCGATCGCTCAAAAACAGTGACCTCGACAACCTCTTTTTGGAGATGAGCTGCAGCTACCACGCCACTGATACCTGCGCCAATTACAGCAACACTTTTGCATCGGAAAGACATGTTGGAAATATTGCTTGTATGCTGAAGGAAGTTCTTCGCAGCTTCGCGCGTGCGCGTGAGAATAAGACCCAACTCTTCAGCCGACAGCAACACACACAAGCCTCTCAACACTCAACCATGAAAGCCATCTACCTACTGTCAGCATTCCTTGCTTATGCCTCAGCTTTAGCGCTTGTCAGCACTGCAAGCATCTCAACCGGGGTGTAGCTAGAAACAAAGCGCGATAGTGGATACGAATGGCATCATGAGCGGCCATGTTCGCATGGGATGCCAGCAACCAAAACCGACGCACCTATTTGCGAATAAGATGTGATTACATTTGAAATGAAGCGAAGTTTCTCCGAGCGATAACATGAGAAACGTTGACTGGGTATTCGTCATCTGCAAGATTATGATGTGATCGCAACCCCGCAACAAGTGTCGCAACCAGCACGCGACGCAGCCACATCAGTCGGCCATGCATGGGAGTCGGATTTGTGAGCGAACGACCTGTGAAGTGGGGTAATAGAGTTCTGGATATAAAATTGGTCGGACCGCGAGCGATAAGGTCTGCGCAACTGCATCGCAAACGATTTTGACCATGGCTCCAATCGCAATCCCCGTTCACGAACACATTCAGGAGAAGGATACTGTCCAGCCCCGGAAAGACTCGCTGGGATTGCCAGAGCCAGCCAGGAAGAGACTCGAGAAGGCGGGAATCGATCTGTCGGCCGGCTATCCGTACAGACCAGCAAAACCACTCTACCTTGACGATGTGTACAAGATCAGGGACTATGATCGTGAGCACATCGATCCAGGTGCCCGAGCCGATCCAGAGAAGCAAGCGCTGTTTGGTGCTGCGAAGGAAGTCATCCATTTGACCTCACACATCGGAACTGAGATCGTTGGACTTCAGCTGAAGGACCTTACCGACCAACAAAAGGACGAGCTTGGTCTTCTGATCGCTGAAAGAAGCGTGGTGTTCTTCCGTGATCAGGATCTCTCGCCTCAAGAGCAGAAGAAGCTGGGCGAGTATTATGGCGAAATTGAAGTCCACGTGAGTAGTTCTTCCCCAAAGACACTTCACGCGCTAAGATCGAGTGAAGCCGCAAGTTCCATTCGTACCCGGTGTGCCAGGGGTGACGGTTCTGTGGCCTGCCCTGCAGGCGACGGAAGTGCCAGCCAGCTTCCGGAAGACGGGTGGTGCATCTAGATGGCACACTGATCTAGTACACGAACGCCAACCTGCTGGGTAAGTGGTAGTATCTTGAAAGGATGTTCATTTCTGACTCTTTTAGCGTGACCCATCTCCACAACGATACCATCCCGAAGATCGGAGGTGACACCCTCTGGGCTTCAGGCTACGCTGCGTACGAGAAGCTTTCTCCTGCTTTCCGAAAGATCATCGATGGCAGAGAAGCAGTGTACCGCAGTGCGCACCCGTACCTTGATCGTGACGATACTAGCGCTGGCCCTAAGCACATCGAACGCGTTCATCCGATCGTTCGTGTCCACCCGGCAACCGGATGGAAAGCTCTGTGGGTCAACCGCGCCTTCACAGATCGCATTGTCGGATTAGACAAAGCTGAAAGCGACGTCATTCTCAACTACCTCTTCGATGTGTACGAAAACAACGTCGATATCCAGGTGCGGTTCCGCTGGACGCCAGGAACTTCGGCATTGTGGGATAACAGAATTACAATCCACAACGCGAGTTGGGATTATGGAGGAATTGAGCCGAGGCACGGAACAAGGGTTACGTCGTTGGCGGAGAAGCCGTACTTTAAGGCTGATGCACCGACTCGCAGGCAAGCATTGGGCCTCGCAGGACCTGAAGATGTTTAGATGGTAGGCGGTGGATGTGTGAAGCTGGACTGTGCGGGAGACGCGTTCGAGCGCGAAGGCGCGAGCTGAATGCGCTAGCTACTACGCTATCCCTATCATGAACAAGCGTCATGTGTCTTGGCATGGCATCATCGACCCCTTGATGCTCCTCTGTGCATGCGGCCAACGCGTGTCCATAGGCAAATACTATCATTGTTCGATTACCTTTACTTATGGTTTCATCAATGTCAGCTACTCATAATCTCAGCAACTTACCAGCATTCCTCCACGCAAACATGTCCATCTCAGCGTCGCTTAGAACCTGCGCTTGCGCCAACTTCTTGACGAACGCCCAGCCATCCGTATTGCTGCTGCACGGATAGTCGACCGAACACATAAGCCTCTCGACTGGGCTTACCTGCCTAAGCTGCTGAAATTGCCTCATAGTGAAGAATGTACTCGTCGTGCTCCAGACATTCGTCTTCCACACCCGATCGAACGTCGTATCGTTGCGTAGTCCCGTCTACTCGATTCGGCCAACAGACATGGGCAGTCCTTCGCCGTTGTGTCCAATTATCAGCTTCAGTTTCGGGAAGCGATCGAACAAACCTGCGCCATAGAGACGCAATACGCGTGTTCCTACGTCGACATGCCAACCTCACGAGGTCACCCCAAGCTTTCCCGCCTCGGCGACTGGGTAGTTGCCCGCGAACAACTTGGATGCGATATCTGCGGTCGGACCAGCAGGTTGCTGATACAGCGGTACATGGAGCTTATGCGCCATGGCAAAGACTGGGTCGAAGCGTGCGGCGTTGTAGTACGTCTCGTCTTTGAGATGGTTCCACATCATCGCGCCTTTGAACCAAGGGTTGTAATGCTGCGGTTTAACCCCGCTGCAGCTTCTTCCTGTAGGGACATGGGCAGTACCGCAAATCCAGCGAATCGTTAAGGATACCTTAGCTACTCATACCGCACCAAGACCTGAATCTTTGCCATGGCGGTAGTGTCTGCTGTCCCATAGTCATCACCAAGACTGCGCCTATGATCAGCAGAACAGGGCACATCACAGCAAAAAAGACCCAGAACTTGCTCTCTCCTGGCAAGAAATCACCCCCCATAGACATGATACCCGCGACGACGGACACAGGAACGAAAAGAAATCCCAGCACAGTGAGCCAGCGCACAGAGCTGGCTTGCGCATTGCTCGCCTGAGCTTCTCTCAGCGCGATGACCTGGGTGTATGAATCTGTCAGATGCTGGAACATCTCTTGTAAATCGATACAGCTTGTACGCAAGAACCGCCATATCTGCGCCTCTCGTTTGCCAACAAAACCATAACTTTGCGCATCTTCGACGTCGATCCCTAGAGCGCGCATGTTGGTCTCGACTTCCAAACGGTAGAGATACAGGTCCGTTGTAAATTTGGCCATTGTCTCGAAGAGCCACTCTTTCCAATCCGCTCCCCAGCGCACTTGGACTGAAGTACGCGCACTTCCAGAGTAATGCGATGAAGAGTTTGAGAATAGCGCCGCTCGTGTATGGCCGTAGCTTCTGCGAATGTGATTCATTTCAGCGGTCCACTTGCTGATCACAAAGCCACGTAGAAAAGGCGTTACGGATAGCGGATTACCTCCTGGACCGAAATTGGCCACCGAACAATGAATCAATATGTCATCGTGCAGATTGTATTTTGTGAAGGCTGCACTGGGGTGCCATTGTAGCGGATGAGGGGCCAACTCAGATTTCTCATGATCTTCCAGTTCTGGATATCGAATTATGCGACCGAGGTTCGGGTATGGACTGCCACTGATGACAGCTAGATGCGCTGGATCTTTGAGGCATGGATCAACAAGCGCTAAGCCTGAACGTGTAACTTCAGTGTCTGGACTGGATTTGGCAAGGTTGGAGCTCTGACTGACCTTCCCAGCCGCTGCCTGGCAGCGTATGGTACCAATATGTGACTTGACCTTCCAGCTCAGAGATCTCGCCCCTTGCGTCCCACTGATCGTATCTGGTCGGTGTCTCCAGGCTCCTCTCGACTATGAATCGTGGATTTGCGCTCTGGTCCCTCAGTCTTCCATCGGGCTTGAGCCACGCCGGACATTTGAACGAATCAGAGTCCTGTTTGGCAGATACATGCGGCATGAGTACCGGATACCGAAGAGTGAAACTTCTTCTCTTATGTGGCGCATGGAGCTCTTCGTCGTCACTTTCGTAGTCGAGACCGTCGGAGGTGCTGGTCTGGACTACAGAGGGAAGACTATTGATGTTATCCGAGATTGTGCTGCTACCCTCGGTTGTGTAATGACGCGCGAAGACGGTAGGATGAATGCGTAGCCTTGATCCTAGCAGACAGATGTATCGCACAGGCATGTCTTCCAACACGAACAACCGTCTCAATGAGGAGTCGTTGCTTGGCGATGTTCCATCCATATAGTTCCTGAGTTCTGCAAAGGCCGTAAACGTTCTCGATCGTAGACCATCGGTTTGGAATTCGATAACCGACATACGTGATAAAGCTTCTTCTTCAACGTCTTGGGAGATCATAGCTTGATACAACGCACTGTACTCTGCGGCTTTGCCTTGAAGAGTTCGCATGGCGTACTCGCGTATCAAGCACAGATATGCAAAGAACTGGTCATCCATGGAGTTGATAAAGGCACTGAAGTCGACCCTTACTTTCGATACGTCATCAACCAATGGTGTTTGTCGTTGTTGGCCAATATCCCAGGGTATAACAGAGTTGGCATTAGGAGGAAACTGCCGCTGTCGCCAAATGGACTCCGGTGCATACTCTCTGTGCTTTCCAGGCATCTTTGCTTTCTGAACCGACTAATTGTACCCTGCAACAGGTCGCTTCGCTTCTGGATGGTCCCGATAGTATTTCTCGGCCAGATCCGATCCCCCGGGCGCTGTGTGAAGCAAATGGGATGCTGACACCCACTTGATCTGTGGCGTGCTTTTTGATCCAGCCTTGTTTCTTCTGAAAGCCGCGAGAACTCTCTTTGCAAGGCTTGTCCTTGATGATTGCGTGCTTGTTGCGATCGAATCCACCCTAAGACAGTATCCGAACTCGCTTTGCACGGCGCCGTGCTCGTTCTTCAAAGAAAATCCAGCCTCTACGATCCGCGAGCGTCGAATGAGATCAGCATCTAATTTTTGGTCCGCCGTGAAAATGTGCACGTCGTCGTCTTTTGGGCCATCCACAGCTGCGCTACCACCGTTGTAACCACCGCGGCCCATCGCCCAGACCGACCGTTTGAAATTGATAACTCTGTGAAGCAAGTTAAGGAGAGATGTATTCGGTCCTCCGTAAGGCAGAATTGCGCCTCTCGACCGGGCAGGTCACAGGGTCGTGCAGGGCGCTTGGACGTCGAGAGACGTCGAGAGCCAATGGATCACATCTCGGCTGCCTGATGATCGCACAATCCCTATGTCTCACCCCGGCAAGCACGATACTTAGCCGAGCAGCACAATCCTCAAGACTCACCATGAAATGCAGGTTCACTTATCGCTACCTAGGTATGCAGAGATAGGCCCAAATAATACCATTCGTAATGCCACCAAGCTGTGCTTGACCCGCGATATGGAGAAAGGGCAGCCCTGGTAGCATTCTAGCCTCGGTAGTTTTGTTCTTCGGCGGAATGACAGCGTTGTAGCACGGTAAAGCGCAGCCCGAATTCACATATAAGTTGGTGCCCATCGATATCGCACATGTACGCACTCTGGTAATGTAACACTAGCAGCGCATTCCAATATTGTGCTGTCTAGAACGGGCTCGTAACTCCAGCGTGAGTGACACAGTCGCGATGCACGGTGGGTGGCATTGACGAAGCCGCAGATAACTTTCTGTATGACAGGACATATGTCGTGCTCGACGAAGTAACGGTGAGATTAGAAGCTGTTCGTCAAGCTGTCGTACGATTGTGTAGAAGAATTGAGTGTCTGTCCTTGTACTGTCCGGCCTCCGTTCACTTCTAGTCACTGCGATGCCATTGTGGAGTTACTTGCAGCTGCCACAGTGGCCCCATCGCCAGAACTCGTCCCCACGAACACCACCAGAACAGCAGCATACGTCGCTGTTGAGACAAGCGCTTCGATGTTGGAAGTTCTGACTCCAAATGAGAGTGCGAGGGCGAACAGGAATACCGATAACGAGACCGTGATGAGGCTTTTCCTTTGCGATGTATTGAAAGCCATGACGAGCATTGGGACGACGAGGAATAGGCCACCCGTGATTGCTATCACGAAGCGCGCGAGATGATCGACAAATGGCGACACATCCTTGGGCCCCTTGCCGTCGGTGTACGCTGCCTGCCGGTCAGATCGCTCGTTCTTAGTGTAGGTCAAGTAGATGGGCAGTTTGCTCATCAAAAAGCTCCGGAAAGGGTCAATTGTGGCTGCGGTCTCGTCGAAGTAGGCGTAGTGAGACCAGAACACGTCGCCATTCCCAAACCTAGGCTGGAACCATGCTTGCAGCAAAAGTCTCCTCTGATGCATGTCTTCCCTCTCCACACTCTTTCGACTTCGAATGAACTGGTAGTCTCGAATCGCAGTGACTAGTATCTTGTCAGCTACATGACTCTTGTAGTTCGCTAATGTTCTTAATAGCTCGCACCGTAGTCTTTAAGGCTGTTCTTGAGATCGCTGAGGTCATCGTCTGACGCACTTTGTGCGTTCTCAAATTTCAGCCTGAGCTCAAATAGCTGCATCTGCTGTGCGACGATGTTGGTCCGCTGAAGCTTTTCGAATCGTAAGAAATGGAACTCTTCTTCCTCTCCAAGTGACCGCGCAATGTATTGCAACAAGTCGGTGTTGTTTTCCGGGCTCGCCATTTGCTGCGCATTAGGATTCCCGCTGACTCTGCTGCATCTTCCGGCGGCCGCTTGGTTTTATGGCGCCGTAGCCAAGACCCTTGGAAATATTCCATTTCATGCATCTCAGCCGCACCTAGGCAACCTCCGATTCTGCGGAACCCCTCATTTATCAGCCGTCCCTCTCTTAATCTTATGGGTTCCACTGTCATCAACGAATGATATGGGTGCCTTTCCATCAACTTCGGCGCATTCACGCCAACATCTGCCCAAGCTTCCCCGTAGGGTGTCAGCGCACGTCCCGGCGAAAGCCTCAAGTCACACGGAATCCAACCCCGCATTCACTACTGGCAAACAGATAGACCATCTTCTTGAAGTCCACGCCCGCATTGTTCGATCTGCGATGAAGCCTAAGCTCTTTCGCAAACACAGCATGCAAGATGAGAAAAGCTTGAAGAAATACAAAATTGCCTTGGGAAGATTGGAAACGTCACTATGGAATCTTTTCGAGGCGAAGTTGAAAACGAGTCGCGAGATAAGTTTGAGAGACTGGAAAGGTCAGTGGAAGCGATCCGTGAGAGGAGCTATGTGCCCATAGCTGACGGGAAAGTAGAGCTTGACTCAGGTCTTGTTGTCATACACCAGGACATGAAAATGGCCATGAGGAGGGCTGAGCAGGGGATGAAGTCTAGTAAAGAGAAGGCCAGGATTGACACCAGTACGACTGAAATGCGACGATTGAGCAAGGAGGTTGAAAGACTCACCAAACCACGAAAGAAGAAGGGTCCACATGCACCCAGACCCAGATATCCTGCGTCTGATGACAGGAACTTGGTCAATCGGTCGTCCTTCAATGACCGCTCTTTTGATCCCGGTTATTGTTAGTCCTCTATAGGCACTGAGTATCGTGACCAGAGAACACTTCCTTCTCCAAACACAGGCACATGACTGGTCTTTGTTCGGAATTTATTGCCTTTCCATGCTTCTATCGTTAATTAGCATCTCTCGCGACCCACATGACTCTCATTAGGCTCAAGAGCGCTAGCCCTGGGCCCCGTATCTACAATGGTGAAATTGTTGCCGACACTGCACCAAACATATTGGCTGATGGTAGCTTCGAAGAGGTTCTCGAGCTCTTTCTCGGCACGGCAGTCAACTAATACGGCGACATTGCCGGTATCCCTGCACAATCGTACATTCTTCTTGTTCTTAGCTGGTAACCGTGATGCACCCAGGATTCCCGCCTATCGCGCAGGCACTGTGCCGCACCTCGAGCGTCGACAATAAACACTTGCAAAAGTTTCTTTTCGCTTCCAAATCCGGGTTATCGCCTGCCAGAACCATGGTATCGATATCAGCGAGTAGTTGCTTATAGATGCCCATCTCGGCGGCTGATGGAGCCGTCTCAGCTGAATTATGAATATGATGTGCAAGCATGGTGACGAGCGCTGCGATGAGATAGGGATGTACCATCCTGTAAATAGATTAGCATATGTTAGAACGAGATAACGACACCACTCACCAATACAAAGCAACGTTGCCCCGGGGCGCTACTGGCAGTAGACTCAGCAGCCTTTGTGCCTCCAGATATGCTTTGTGTTGCTTCATCTTCGACATCTTGATTAAGCCGTCTAGCTCGAAGGGGTTGACTTCCGAACTCATGTCCATCGCCGTGAACGCGTGTAGTCGATATACAGTTCCGAAGTAGTAAGCCTCCAGTGCAACACAATGACAGATATCTGCTCGATATAGTATCTGTTCCAGCTGGCTAGCAGAGAGATGAAAGATGTGATGTTGCTCGTGAAAGGCCTGTAAGCGTGCGAGCACGATGGCTGTGGCGGCGCTTAGGTCCAGCGGAGTCGTGTTACTTGTCTTGCGAGAGAGTACCTGGTCGATGGCTTCGGTCTGAAGTAAGGCTATCCTTGTGAAGAGCCAGAAGATATGCGCTCGCCAGGTGCCCTCGGTCGCAGTGAGCGCACCAAGCTCGTCTGCTACAAAATCGGAGCAGTTGGCTACGTCTTGAAGCTGGTGTGTTGGTTGCGTGTTGCTTAAAATGCTCAGGCTGATGTCGTTGGTGAAGCAGATCCAGAAAACGCGACGCTGGTGTGCGCCGTCACTGAGCTCCTGTGCCGTTGCATTGCTTTTCTTGCCTTCGTTGGCTAGACTTCTGATGACACGGAGGGCGGTGGAGACGAATTGACCCGCTGGCTTCTTATTACTGCATGGGCTGGCGACGATGAGTAACGCAATACCGACAAGGCATTGTACCTGTCCTAGGGATGGTGGCGCTGTGAGTAGAGTGTCAAGTGTGGAGTAAGCGCGGGCAAGGTAGTACTGGGCCATGTCCATGTTATGGCTGTCACCAGTCGAACTCATGCCACGCATATGATGTGCCATACCAAAGACGATGTACGCACTCGTCCAAGCGATTGCCGAATCATCAGGCAGCCCCGCATAACATGTCCGAAGGTGGTCGGCAATGACATGTGGTTGGTAGAGCGGATAGGCGGTATTTAGGTCAGTCAGGAACTCCGCAAGCAGTGTCGTTCCGAGCTCCGGGGGTGGGAGATACCAGTCACTAGTTGGACTGGTTACTATTGGCAGCGGTGATAGACTGAGATCCTCCGTCGGCCCCGTCCCAAATTGTGCAGCTTGCAGGAAAGCAACATCCTCTTGGAAGTTGGCGGAGATATAGATGCCATCTAACGGAGCCTGCAACGAGGGATCTAACGTCGAAGAGTCGTGACTAGAACCGCCGGTAGACAACGCGCCCAGGTCATCTGCAAACAAACCATCATTATCCGGTAGGAAGCTTTCCATGTCAAAAGGGTCGAAGTCTGGAAGTTGGGGATGAGGGCCAGCCTCCACCTCATGACGCAACGAATCTACCCATGTTGATATTGGAGGTGAATGTTCTGTTGTTTGCATGACCGGTTGTTGGCGCACGTGTGGTTGTGCCACGTTCCGCTCATGTAGCAGAGACTCTAGCCTCTTGATCCGATCCTCATACTCAGATATGCGGTTGCTGAATTATCGTCAATGAGACTTCCATTTGAGAGCTGCAGTCAGATCATACCCTCTTTGTGGTTTCGACCTTTGTTTGCGCGTGTACGTGGTCATGCACGTTTCTTTCAAATTGGTGCACGGCGAGCAGCCCTGAGCACCGTGGTTCCACACGCATCTTCGCTTCCGTTTGCGACACAGATCACAAGCCTGGAAGACGCGTTAGTCTGCTGTTAGACGCGTTCTGAGCGCTCGGAATGCGATGTTCGATGCTCTATAGCTGTACGCGGATGTCGTGGCAGAGTCGCGTCTGAAGCGGATGCAAGGACCCGCAGCGGCCTAAGCCGGATAAATGCTAGCAAACCTACTTACTCGCACCGTGGACGCAGACCCGCGTTTCTCGACGCCACTACTCGACATCGTGAGTTGCCTGATGGTATAATGAGATCAAGGTCTGCTGACATGCTGTTCGGTCTGATGCCTCTTGTCGCTAGCAGAATGGCCGATCCCCGCCGCCCAGTCCGCTGACAAATCTAAACTAGTCACCACTGCCATACAAAGGTTCACTCTCTCAAGGGCTTCAAACGAACACTACCACACGCCGGTGAAAGCTATGATCGAACATCGCAATCAATGACACAATTTCTTCATTTACTATTGATTGATTCCAACTTTAGTAACTCAATGATAAATGCGTTTGCGGGCCAAACGCGCCTTCCAGTTTCGCTAGTACGCGAGACCGAGACCGAAAGCGACCCATTACATTGGTGCAACAAACAGCTTGCGCACATCGTCTTTCCCGTGCTTCTTTACAATATCATACATCCACATCCTAATTCTGAGTCTGATGGTCTCCTACTCACGAAGGCAACGCTCTTCGTACACCAGCGAGCGAAGAAATGAAGGTCATTGGGGGCGCAGAGAACTTCTGGCTATACTCCGAGAAGGAAGGCTACGACATAACGCATCCTGCCGCGCCCAACAGCCCCAAGGTCTACCCTCGCATGACACTACGCACACAGGACTCGCGTGCCATCATTGATCCCACCAGACTGCGCTAGTAGTCGTCGATATGCAAAACTACTTTCTGTCCCCAGCATTTGGGCGGCCGTCGAACAGCCTGGGTCTGCAAGTTGTGGAAAGGCTCACCGAGCAAGCGACACCGGCATGCAGGAAGGCCGGAATTCAAATTCTTTGGCTCGGTTGGGGTCTCACAGATGAGGATATCGAGACTATACCCCCTGCGATTGTCCGTGGTTTCTCAATGGACACAAACTTCAAGGGCGATCGCGAGGTACCTAGTCTTGGAACGAACATCGGACCCATAACGCTAGATGACGGATCTACGGTCGAAGGCGGCGCCGTTCTCATGCGCGATCAATGGAATACCAATCTCTGCAGTGCTTTGGAGAGTTTGGCCCACCCTGATGATCTAAGAGTTTGGAAGAATCGACTGTCGGGGTTCTGGGGAGGGACCAATGTCGAGAGTGTTTTGAAGGCTCGCGGTATCAGGACATTGATCTTTGCAGGCTGCAACACAGACCAATGTGTTGCTGCTAGTTTGACAGATGCGGTTTGGAGAAATTGGGACTGCCTCTTGTTGAGCAACGGAACTGCTACAACTAGCCCAAAATTCGCCCAGGAGATGGTTGAATTCAACATGGGAGGATGGGGATTCTTACTGAGCTGCAAAGACCTCGTTGACGGTGTGGAGACATTGGAAACAGGCCCCAGTGAAGGGGCTTGAATGCTTGATGTGCGAAGATAAAGTGCATTTAGTGCTAGGAGACAATGCGTCTGGTAGTCATCAGAGAAACGACGAGCTGATGGAGTTTGGACGTCCTTTGCTGCTCCGCTAGAACTCAGGATTGCAGACTGGTGACGTGTACAACCCGGAGATTCGACGATATCAAATCAAGGCCACCCAAAACCCTGGACACGAACTCGCCGTAGAGGTGGGACTGGCATATCGCAGGTGATATGATAGTTATTGTCTTGATGTTCAGCAGTCTTCCTAGCGTCGAGATGAGCTTGCCAATTTCCGCTTCGTACAATTCCCAAGTGAGTAGCTGAGGCCGTAATGACGATGACGGTGTGAACGCGTGTGGGCACAGTATAGGTCGAAGGTCTATATCCCGAATCGCAACTGATATATCGGTGACATGCGAGAGGAGATCGTCAGGCGTTGCGTCTACCCAAGTGTATAGCGAGAGTTGATTGGGGAAGCTGATAGGTCTCTGATAGAGAAACTTGCGTGCTTCTCGCTCGATCTGACGACAGGTATGAAGTATTCCTGGGCCTTGTTCGGGCGATGAGAGGATGTTACGGTAGATTTGCTCCCGCAATTCCGCTGGTAGACTCAGTAATCGATTGCTTTGTGGAGAATCAGCTGCCATGGATAGTTCTGTTTCATTATTGCTCATATGGCGTGGTATTTGAGCCATTCTCGACATCCAGCTACCCGTGTGCGATTTGCCGGTGTCTGCAATTTCGTTCGAGTGCTATTGCTAGTACGAAGGTAGTGTCGGGCATGTGTGCAAAGGCCCTCAGATGAAGTACTGCGTAACCAAGATCAAATGCGTGATGAAGCTCGTCGACAATTCGATGTGGAAGGGGTTGTACTGTGAGCTGTAAAGTGGTATGGGAGTGCTAGTATAGTTTCGATACTAGGCTAGAATCCTATCAGGCCGATAAACCACGGTCCTGATCACTGGAAGTACCTTGAACCTTATAGAATTCCGGCATACAAGTAGCGAGGTATGTAGCGAGACCTCGATTTGGCGTGTCATCGAAGTCGTTGCATAGCCGATACCCCAATTTCACAATACAGAACATCGCGACGAGTGTCCAGATCAGTCCAAACCTGAACTTGAGCATGTTCGAGTTGAGCAGCATCGGTAACTAACCGAACATACGGCGTTATGGCTTCGACTGAATGCGGCAAAAGTGCCGCTGATCGATGGCTTGCAACCGTTTGCAGAGCTCGATACTAGCTCAATGTGGATGCTACATCACCACGTGGATTTTGTAGCGTTCGAGGCGTAGGGCATTGGCATTCTCGGCATATACCAAGAGTGGGCCGTGCAGATATGCCATGGATCAAGTCGTCACCCTACTTCAGCATCACCTTTCGGAGTCTTTGCCGAATTCCACTGGGATACAGGTTAGATGATTGGACATGACCAACTGGAGTGATAGCCTTATCAAACATGGCTAGAGCCCTGCAGTGATCCAAGTCAAGGGCCAGGCACGCTGAAGATTAATAGTCCAGTAAAGTTGCAGACCCTTTGCGCAGATCATACGATATATGGTACCATGTTCTGCCAATCGGTAGTGTCTTACAAGGTAGCGTGGCCCTCACTCGCTTGGTGTTCGTGTGCAGATTGGACACCTACTTGCCATGAACGGCTGTCGAGCATGCAGTGATGGAGTTGATCGACCATGATTTCCAAGGGAGCGTTCCAATACAATAGTTGAGAGCCTGTTTGGAAAACTCGTACTCGTGGTGGTGAATGCAGAGATAACGACGGAAGCGGACAAGACACATTTAAAGTTCTGTCGATTAGCCAATAGTTCGCGGTCTGTGGTCGGGAGCTCTCAGCTATGTGATATGAATGCTGGGCAGCTTGTATTCCATTTGGGAGCCAGTCCGCTGATGTTTCGATATGCCGGCAGATGGTTCAAAGACACGCGGCAGCCTTCGCGATCCGGGGTGCAGCAACGGCGGGTGCAGCGATCTGCGGAAATGTGCGTTAGGGTGGCTCGGTCTGGACAAAGCACTGTGACAGTGAGATGCGTATTGGCATTTGATGTGTGGTGAAGCTTCATTATTGATGGCGTTCCCAAAGGGTGGTGCAGGAGGCGTGAAGTTGACCCTGGGAAGGAGGCGACTAGCGGATGACGCTTGCGCAGAGATGGCCCCACTTCAGCCCTGAGGGCACCTGCTCGATATCACATCGCTCCATCCCGACCACCTGCAAGCCGACACAGCAAAATCTGATCGCATCGATGATTACCACGGCACATTATACTACACGTCGAGTCCCTTATTTGCCGCTTCAAGCGGCCTCCTCAGCCCCCCTCGCAAGCTGCCTTCTGGAGAGACGTGCGCTTTTCGGCCCAATCCCGCTGAGTCTGAGGATTGCGATCTCTCTCATTTGATGAGGAGTATCCCGCTGAAAAGAGAGGAACATCAGCCACATTATACATCAGGCTGTCTTGAATCGGATACGCAGCCAGATCTATGAGGACTTCGGTGCAGCTCAGAACGCCATCACGGTTCGCTTCTTCACATCGACTGAACGCGGAAAGGGGTCTCCTTATCTGGGCCACCAGAATCCCCACCCCGAACAGCTCCCATGCCACGCTCATAGCAAAAGCAAAGGGAAATCGTACCGGCTGGCGAAAGATTGCGCAACGTAAACTTTCGATTTCAAACGTCGGCTAGAACCGCGTCGCAGCCTCTTGCAGGATGTCTATCGCCAGACCACGCGCCACGCCTGTCACACCACCAAACGCAATGAGTTCTTCAAATCGCGATGACTCCATCAAAATGTAGATTACTTCAGCAAGTCTAGAGCCATGCATGCCGCGAGCACAACCACGTGGAATCAGCCATCCCGCACAAGACCGCACGCGAGATATCCGCCTCACAGTCGTACGAGTGGCTTCGCCCAAGCGACACAACACCATCACATGCACCCGACGCCTTCATTGCACCAGAATGCTAGCTGTGATTTCCGAAACACAAGAACGGAATTTCGTAACGAAGTCTGTTCTGATTAACATCGGCAGGGCACCGAAAAAGTCGTGGTTGCGTCCTCGGCAAAGCAGTAAGCTGGCTCCTGCATGTCTGGCGGTATTCAGACACCACGCATTCTATGTACAGCCTCATCCTACGCAACCGAATGTCATCAGCAGGTCTCCATCACCTCTCCCTTGACAGTCCAGCAAAAGCACTCCGGGCCGCAGAAGTCACACTCCCAGTCATCTCTTCCCCTGCATTCTCGCTTAGAGCCTTCAGTAGGCTTCTGTGTTGTGGTACTATTTACACAGTCTTCGCCTTCTTCTCTTCTGTCTTTTCCTTTTGCCTCATTTTCACCACACGCTCTTTCAGACCCGCGACATGCCTCGGTGTCGGAAGCACGATACGGCCCAAAATACGCCGCCGCATCCCACTCCCCATCTCTCTCCTCTGCTTTCCTCGGCTCAGAGCCCGCGTCTGGATCATCCACTGATATTGATGAAAGGATGAACTGTTTCGGTACGTCATGACCAAACAGCCTCCACCAATCCGGTGCTAGATCCTTCAAGATGGGATCATGATACCCCTCCACATACTGATACAACGGCGGCATGGAAGCATCCTCAGTCGACGAATCGTCGTAATGGTGGGCGTAGCAGTGATGGCGAACATAGCAGTCCCCCTGGTGGTAGAACCGTTCACACCCGTTCTCGTGCTTGCGGCCGTAAGAGTAGTCTTCCTCAACGTCCACATTCCGCGCATCATACCACTCCGCGACTTCCTCTCCCGTAGCAGGATGCGTATACGGGTACCAACACCCCGGCTGCCACATGTTCGCTTGGGCGGGTGCAAATGTTGGTGATAGTACCATGTACCCCCCTAGCTGTCGTTGAATGCTATCTTCGCTGAAAGCTGGCATGATTTCGCTCGCATATAGCGTGCCATTATGTTGCCGGTCTTGTTGGTGTCCCGCTTGGTTATAGGCTGCGTCCTGGTACAGCATTTCGGATGCATTGGACCGGGCACTAGGCTTTCGGGAAGATTTTCTGCGGCGGTTGGAAGTGCGCTTTGTCATCTTCGCTCCTGATGTATGGATGGAGATCTGTCGTGATAGTATGTGGGTGGGGAGAATACAGGTGTGAAGATGGGCGTCGTGCTGTATGAAAGGGTGTAGTGTCTTCAGCAAGTAGAGTATCAAGGGGGTACAGTGTAGAAATATAGTCGTGTGTGTTGCAGATTTTATCACACCATTGACTTTGACGAACATGGTCCCCCGTCGCATGCAACCATGGGATCTGTGAAGAGAACCAAAGTTGCGCATGTGACATGAACCAGACTTTGACAGAAAAGCATCATCGAATTGACTGCGTGAGATATTTCACATCCACGAAGCTGTGATGATGGAGTGGTGCAAGACAAACCAATGGCATTGTCATATATTCAAAGCCGTGACTATGACCTACCAAACGGCCTACCCTGGTCCGACGTCGCGGCGCCGAACCTCCATGAGCGCATGCAGACCCCACACTGCCATTCATACATCACGATCTAAGCAAGTTTCCCATCCTTCACTTTGTACAACACCGACCCACTCCCCGGCTCACTAACCACGATCGCCCCCTTCAACTTCTCCTCGCTGATATCCGGAAACCTCTTCTTATAATACTTCTCCACCCACGCTTTCTTAACCGCCTCAACCTTATCTTTCGGCACAAGATGCACACTGCATCCACCCCAGCCCGCGCCCGTAAGCCTGCTGCCACAACTTCCAGCCGCGCGAGCTAAATCGCACAGCTCGTCCAGCTCGGGACAACTGCATTCGTAGATCTCGCGGCATGAGTCTTGTGTCGTGTTCATGAGGTCGCCGAGGGACTGGAGGTATGCGCGGTCGTTTGATGGGGGGGATGCGAGGAGCGATCGGAATTTGATCACGCGGAGGGCTTCTGTGAAGACGTGTAGCGCGCGCTGTCGGAGCATGAACTTTTCGGCGCGCACGGGGAACTTGGACATGTAGCGTTCGTTCAATTCGTCTTCTGAGATACCCAGCAGTCCGCTAATTTGCGCACGTGTGTAGCCGTCTTCTTGGGGGAGGTAGTCTTCGGTGTGTTGGATTAGCTTCGTGAGTTGCGTTTCGAAATCTGACACGGAGATCTTTGTGTTTTCGGAGACGCTCTCTTTATCTTCGAAGTAGGTGTCGTGGAAGCCGCGGAGGCTGACACCGAGAGGGGAGGAGTCCGTTGGGAGCTCTTTCTTTAGACCGAATGCTTTGGCTAGGAAGACGGCTGCTAGTGTGCATTCTACGACGCGCAGGTTGTAGCATACGGGCGCTGTAACGTGCTTGTCGGCGGCGACAAAGCTCTGAGCGGTAACGAAGACGAGTTCGGGGTCGGTCTTGGGAAACTCGATGTTTGTGTAGTTTAGGCTGGGCTTGAAGGATACGTATAGGGCCGAGCCGCGGAGGGAGAAGACGGAGGCTGCTTGGTCCATGCTGAGGACGTGTTAGCCGTGATACTTCCATGTGCTTCACTGTACTCACCCTCCAGAGTTGACACCGACTGCGCGCTCGGAGACAATGGCAAGCTCGCAAAGTTCGGTCTTGTCAATTTTCTCCTCACCATTCGCAGCCAGCACAGCCAAAGAGCTTGTGCAGACAACGGATGCTGAACTCGAGAGGCCACCACCACTCGGCACTGTGCCATCGCATACAATATCCATACCCACGGATGTGAACTTTCCTCGCTTCTTTTGTAGTAGTTGTGATACACCCTTCAGTCCAGACTTGAAGTAGTTAGTCCACTCATGCTCGGTCGCGTCGATTGGGATCTCTCCCTCGGGAATGTCGAACTCGCGGGTGGGGAATTTCTCTGAGTTGAGGTTGGCTATCCGTACTCGCGGCTTCTCTTCAGATGGTCGCACAGCTACGGCCATGATGAAGTCGGCGGTAATGGCCATGGGCAGAACCTCGTACAGGGAGTAGTCGATGTGCTACAATCATTAGTGACAGGTAATAGACTTCTGGCAGGTAATTTACCTCGCCGATGATGTTGACGCGTCCAGGACTCCTAGCGATAAAGTCTGCTTGCTTGCCATAGAGGTCCTTGAACTTGGCGAGTAGGCTATCCCATCGCTTTGTCTCGACTGGGAGCGCGTCTTCGGGGTAGATGTCGCGTAGCGACGTTGCTGTCGGAACCTCCATTGCGCGATCTAGAAGTTCGAAATTGCAAAAAGCAAGAGAAGGAGAAACAGAAAGCAGGTTGAATGGCAGGAAAAGCAGAATCTATTTAATCCCCGGATCGTCGCAAGATCTCAAGTAAATGTACGGCGGGGTCCAACTGACGACAAGTGGGGTTCTCAGACCTTCCCGTTTTGAGAAGCGCATCCGCATCACCAACGGCCCGTGAGCTGCATCGAGCTGCAGGTACGGATTTGAGGTCTCGTGTCGCGGTTGCTCGGGGGGAAAACGCCGTGGTAGGATGAGCTATGGATGCCCGGCGATGGTAAGATGAGAGAAACTGAGTGAGGCGTTCCGAAATTGCGCGATAAATTATGCTGACCTCAGCACTCGACACCACCAGACTGCAAAGTATACGACGCAGGTGGAACTGTCGATTGGGTATTTCATGTATACGTTCGAGGTGAGGCGAAGGCGTATGTGCAATCCCATCAACCCAAGCCTCTACCTCGTCCCCGCGGAAGCCCTCGTCCAATGCCGCTGCCTGCTCGACCTCGTGAGTCGCTGCGACTGATACCACGTCCGGTCTGTCCGCCTACGCCGGTATAGTTCCCTGTGGACGATGTCGAAGCACCGCGTGGCCGGACGCCCCTGCCTCTGCCTCGAGTACCTGCCCTGGGAGCCGCCTCAGCCTTTCTGCGATCCTCTTCTATCTTCCTAGCCGCAGCTTCTCTCCGCGCCTGCTCGTCTGCCGCCCGACGTTGTGCAGCCTGCTGGCGGTGTACCTCTTCCTCCTCGATGTCAACCAAATCTTGCGACGCACCCTGCCATTGCGGGTTCAAGATTAGACGCTGATTATGTTCTGTTTGGGAAAGTATGCGCGTCCATGTTTGGAGCAAGGTAGACGCATTCTGGACGGTGCGTGATACAGTCTATTCATCGTCAGTCTAGAGACTGCGGCAGTTCTACTATTGTCCCTTACAGCCATGTTGTCCTTGGCCTTCTGCAGGCTTTCTACCACGCCCTCGATGACCTTGTTGACGTTTCGTATGCTCTCCAACTCCCTGCGCAATGCTGCTTCGCGCGCCTCTTCTGTCGTGTAATGCGACTCCTTTGACCGTGTCTTTGCTGCATCATTGTCCGCATCTTTTGTCTGCTTCTTGGTCTTGCGTGCCGCAGGCGTGTCAAACAACGCGTCCGTGTCCGAGTCGGAGAGGTCAAGCGCGCCCAGGTTCGGCGGGTCCATGCTGTGTAAATGTGTTGTGTATTGTGTCGGACTCTTCTAGACGAATTGATTTGGTGAGTTTCAACGACTGACAGGTTGGCGTGTTTGACGTATTTGGTTTGGCGGGGCCAGCGGTTAGCAGGGGTTTGTTGATGTTCCGCGTTGCGCCAAGGAAGGAGCACCAGCCATCTGCACCTGCCGTCCCAACCTCGCGACTTCCTTCATTCCCCGTCGTGACATAGCCCATTGTCTCCACCCGGCTTTGTCCTTCACCTTCACCATCACCAGCCCTACCGCCATCTCCACTTGCGCGCATATCGATACTGCCTCTATTGTCATCCCAACGTTGAGGCGCTGCGACATCGAGCTTGCTGTGGCATTGTTTTGATTTTGGATACCCACAATTCGCCCTGTATTGCTACAACAACACCACAACTGCCCTATCCCAAACAAACACCCGCATCATCCCACCCAACATGGAGCGCACGCCGTCCCCGCCCCGCCGCGTTCACACGCCGCCCGCGCCGCTGTATGGAGACAACTACGAGCCGTTTTCACCGCGCCGATCGCGCAGAGTGGCCGCCCAGCACGACGCTCACACTCACCAACAGGAGCGGTCAAGCCCACGGACCAGGCGCGACATCACGCCAACGGCCTCTTCTCACGCCAAGCGTTCTGCTGCCCGCGCAAACGCTTCCTTTGCACTCTCACCCCCATCGTCGCCTGCATCCCCACAACACCAACACCTCCGCTCTCCACGCTCGACCCGTCGCGCGCCCTTGGACCTCAACCCGCTCGACTCTGACTCCGACACTGCTGCACCAAGCTCGTCCCGGCGCACCTTGTTTGCGAACATGGCTCCTGTATGTTACCTGAGGTGACCGCCTGGGCCCGGTGCGGTTGACAAACAACTGCGTCGAGTGCCAGACGGCCTCCACACCTACTACAACCCAACATGCTAACTTCTCCACAGGGCATGCTCCCAACTCCCGCAAAGACGCCGCGCAAGCGTCGCATCGAAGACGTCAGCTCGACCGCGCGCGTGTTGTTCCCCGCCAACCGACCTTCAACCATCGACGAAGCCATGCCGACCCCGCGCAAGGGCCGCAAGACTAAGAACCTCTACACTCTAGAGAGCTTCGCCCAGCAGATGGACGAGAACACTGAAAAGATCCCCATCTACACTGACTCCAAGGAGCGCGTACCCACTCCTGGTGCTCAGACTGAAGATAACCCATTCATCACCGTCAAGGGCAAGGGCAAGGCAAAGGCTGCTCCCCAAAAGTCAAGGAAGGTCGTCGACCGAAAGACTGCCAAGATGGAGGCGGCTGTCGACCGTGACGAAGGAATGGTATACATCTTCCGAGGTCGCAAGGTCTTCCGCAAGTTCCACGACGACGCACCCTCCGGCGCCTCAGCGGCAGAGGAAGACGACGACCTCTCCGCCGATGACAAGCAAGTCCGCCGCCAGATTGGTTATGAGGCCCGCCGTCCGCTCACTCGTTCGTCTATCAAACCCCGTCTTCTGTTCCAAGCAGAGATCAAAGAGCGCAACCGCGCAAACGGTGTTGAGACCGACGACGAGGAGGCGATCACCGACATCGATGCGTCCGTCGCGACCCCGAGCCGCAAGAAGGGCAAGAACGCCGTCCCAACACCATCCTTGCTCACATCGCCGCCGCCTACGACCCGCAAGCTCAAGAAGGGTAAGTCTCTTCAATTTTCGCCAATGAAACCCCCGCTTATACAGTAGCAGAGATCTCGTTTGATTCATGGTCGCGTGTCAAGTCAGCGCACAGCTCCAGCAGCTCCACCAAGACATCCAAGAAGCGCAGCGGTGAGCCGCTCGAGCGCGAGGCAGCAGACAAGCGGGCTCGCAGTGAGCACTCTACCTCATCCATGTCAATTGACAACATCTAACGGCCTTCAGCCCGTTCGTCTTGAACAAGTCTTCCTCGTAGCTTGTGTTGAGATGCTATCACCAAGCGTTCCCAACTCCCCTTTTGCATCAGGTCCTTTGTGACTGATTGTTTGCATAGCGAGCGTTTGCTTTTTGTGTTCTTCGACCTATGCGAGTCGAGGAACAGGATCAGGATACCCACGATTACATTACGAAAAGGTTCGCATTACTGACGGCCTTTAATGTTTGTTTGGCATTGAAGAGGGATGAGAACCTTTCTTTGCCGAGAAGGCATTGTAATCGGTGTTTTCTCTGGGACATTTACTGGACAGCACGCATATGTGCGTTGCCCAGAGTAACTTAGTTAGTAAGTAGGGAATACGGATTTGACTGCGGGATCACGGTATGCGGTTGCTTGGTATCTGGGCGTCTCGATGAACAGACACCGAGCTGGTATACGGTGCTTAGCGGTTGAATCGATGGTAATGGGAGGACATGGAAGGGAACGTAGTATAGATCAAGGAAAATACGAGTGATAACTCTGAATGTGCTTATTTGACTGAACGTGAATGTAAATACCCCTCTCTCTATGATGTTCCCTCACCGCCGTCCCAGATCAATATCCAAAACCTTGACCATCCCGTCATCTCTGTCCCCTCCCTCTCCCTTTACCCTAAAGAAAGGCACAACCCCCCTATTCACCACACCCTCAAAAAGCCCCTCAATCATCCCACTCAACTCGCTCCCCGTCTGCCTGAAATCCGGAAACGCATTCACCTCCAGCAGATACGTGTTCAGTCCGCCATCCTCCTCTACCCCTACCATGAAATCCAGCCCGAAAATCTCAAAGCTGTTAGGCAGCGGCTGGAAATGAATCGACATCCCCCTCGCCGCAGCTTCGAATGTCGCGGCTGTCGTTTCCTTGATCTGCTCGAATACTTTGTCTTTCCAATCCGGCTTTGCGTCTAGTTTGATAGATCCGAGGTCGGGTTGTGTAGGTAAAGAGTCGGGGAGAGACCAAAATAACCCCACACTGCCCTCCCTATCCCCACTCTCCTGTAAACACGTGTTTGTCAGATGCGCGCGCATGGCTTCGTCGCGGTCGTTTTGTAACACGTCGGACCAAGGGGGGACGTAGGGGCGTGCGGCGAAGAGGGCGAGCATGGGTCGGTAGACGAAGACTTGGAGAGCGGATGTGGCGAGGACATATGTGCGGATGTGGAATTTGCGCAGTTCTGGAGTGGGAGCGTTGGGAGGAGAGAGGAGTAACGGGGGGTGGATGTAAGGTTGTGCGATGAAGTGGCGGAGTTGGGATGTCATGATGCCGTTTCCCTCTTCTTTCTCTTTCTCGTCTTTCCCCTGCTCGCCAATGCTGAGACTGCTGTTGGCGCCGGTATCACTTCTCGCATCTTCCTCCTCTTCTTCGTCCTCATCATCACTCTCAGGATCCCACTCCTCGAAAATCCCAGTCAACCCCTCCTCACTGCTAAACAACCTAATCCCTTGCCCCCTCTCACTCATCCCCGGTTTCAAAATCCACCATTCCTTCTTCTTCTCATCTTCTTGACTCTCATTCCTCGCCCAACTCTCCTTCAACTCCCACGCTTCAACCAATGCATCATCCAGAAACTCGGCGTAGTCGACTTCAAACTCCACGCTCGGCTTGACGTGTTTCTTAAGTACGCTATCGGGGTATTTGGTTATCCAATTGGCGATGGTGGTGCTGAGGTAGTGTTTCCGGATTAGGGCTTTGCGAATTATGTAGGCGTTGGCGAGACTACTGGAGGAGTTTTCAATGAGGTGGTCGAAGTCGATGGATTCGTATTGGACCCATTGGAGGAGGCGGGAGGAGGGGGAGGGGAGTTGGGATAGAGATGTTATCAACTCATAAGATGATTCTGGCAAGCGCTTCTCAAGTGCGGCGATGATAAGGGGTTGGACGTAGGGGTCTTCGTAGTTGATGAGAGCGTAGATCTTCTCTGAGGGTTTGGGGTCTGACGTCGCCATGTTATTGTAATTCGTTTCCTGAAAGTGGTGGTCCTGCTCTTTCCCTCGGTGATGTGGTCGCACGTGCGTCGTTGGTATAGTTAGGAATACCTCACTTCTCTCCGGATGAACAGTCTCAGAACCTTGGTAAGGTAAACGCAGTATACAATTCAGCGTAACAAAGCGGGTATAATATTGTACAAGTAAAACAAAAGGAAAGTCGTTAATGCGGCTTCGCTCCACGCTAAAGCCTTCGGTATCCATCAGCCCAGAAAAGTCGAAATGCACCCCGTTGCTCGCTTAGCTCTAGCCAATCAGCGAGCTTTGTGACCCAAACGCCCTCCCCTTCATGTTTTTTTGTGTATGCCTCCCCTAGTGTTTTCCAAAAGAATTAAACAACTTCCAAATCGTCATCGTCGTCGTCGTCCATGGCAGCAATAAGACCAGCGTCGAGACCGCCGAGACTCTCGCGGCCTGGCTCGCGGATGCCTTTTCCGGCTAGCAAGAGACGCGCCTTCTTCTTCGCTGGACTGGCTTCGCGTGTACCGCGGAATGCAGAAGGGAAAGAAGTATCCTTCTTCGGTGATGGGATACGGCCGTACTTGAAGCCCCAGCCGACGGGGTCGCTCGAGTTGGATGATTTCGCCGATGCTGTTCGTTTACGTTTAACAGGCGCCAAAGAAACATCGGCTGACGTACGGTTAAGTAGACTGGTAAAGTCTACGTCGGCTGGCTTGTCAGGCTTTGCGCCTGAGGAACCTTGCGACGATGTGTAGCCTCTTGCGGGGAGGTTCTGGGTACCAGCACCCTTGAGCTTCATGTAGTCGCCTCCGGTACTGCCATCTCCCATCGTGCCGAGCTTCTTTGCTAGTTCTCTTTCCTTCTCTTTTTCGGCTAGTTGCTTGCGGAAGCGGTCCTCTCGGCCTGCTCCGCCTTCCCAGTTTTGGTGGTCGCGGTCGATGAGTTTGGCTGCGCCGCCGGGACGTGGTGCAATGTAGACGGTCTCGTGGAGTTCTCGGTCGTGATACTTGCCTTCCCTCTTGAGTTCATCACCTTTCGGGCCACCGCGTCGGCCAAACATGCCGCCGCCTGGACCTCCGCCAAACCCGGTCATGGTGTTGACTTGCATGCGGCCTTTCTTGGCCTTGTCCACCTGAAGTTGGATGTGGAACTCGCAGAATTCGGTCTTGCGACCGTCGATCCACTGACCACACTCCTTGCCGTCTTTCCGTTGTGCATGGCAGAAGTCTAGATCTCGCGCTGTACCAAGTTCAAGGATGGTGTCGTCAGAACTTGACAACTTCAGCGAGAATTTGCCGGTATCGCGGTTCCGTGGTGGCATGATATCGGGGTTGAGTATGGCGACTAGTGTACCAAGAGGGAGTTTCCAGAATTGCGAAAAGCCAGTGTCGAACAGGAAGAGATCGAGCTCCCATTTGAGATCCGTGAGACGAATAACCATAAACTTGCCGTTCTGGTCCAAGTTCTTGTCCTGGTTGCCCTTGGTCTGGTCCTTTGCTGCGTTCTTGGAGTTTTGCGGTGTCGACTTGGAGCAGATAACCCCAAGAACAACATAGTCGTTCTCCCAATCTGGCGGATCGTATTCTGGCGCCTTGACGGTTTTCAGCAGTTGAGGTATTGTCAAGACCGTCTTGCCTTCCAGCGTGCGCGTGACTACATTGTGTTGCATTTCCCTCGACTTGAGGTGGAGACCAGAGAACGATTCGAAACTAGGAGCATCGGCGCTTTCGTCGCGCGACGAGATCTCGGCGTATTTTGTGGCTGTCGGAGTTGAGCCAAAGCTGCTAGACGTGGCCTTGGAAGAGGACGAGGTCGGGCGTGAGCTTTCGGGCCTGAAAGACAATGTGGAGCCTGGTCTTGGAGTGGGCGGACCCCCAAATGTACGGTTCTGTAGACTTTGCGTTCGGCTGTGATTCCTCAGGGCCGGCGGAGGCATGTCGCGTGAAGTCTTGGTATCGGTACTCTGAGATGAGCTGGTTCGTGATAGCGACGGCCGGTCTTTCAGCGCTTCGATGTTCTGCAGCCCAAACCCCCTACTCCGTCTCTGTTCAGCCTTGTCCTCCTTCTCTTCACGCTCCTTCTCCTTGTTCCTGCTCTCTGCGATGCGCTCACTGAAGGACTTGATCTTGGGCGGCTCGACCTCTTTCGACGAGCCCAGCCGCGACATGCGCCCGCTGACAGCACTTCCCGGCCGCTTGAGACTAACGTCGCGGGCTGTGAGTCCCTTGTCTATGCCCAGCATGACGCGCGCAGGACTCTTCGGCTCGGTTGGCGCTTGTCGCATCCGGACTGGTGATCGCGGTACCTCGACGTCGGTCTCTTGCCTGGTCTCGGGCCGCGGCAGGTCGATTCTGCGCATGCCGGTGGCCATGCTCGCTCGTGATGACGCTCCATTGCGATCCAGATCCTGGGACTCGTTCTTCTTCTTCTGCAGCGCCTTCAGCTTCAGCTTGGCCTCGATGGCCTGGAGTTGCAGCTGGAGTGTCTCCTCATCCTCCTCTCCATCGCTGCCGGCTGGCACACCTCCGCGCGACATTGGGCGGCGTTTCGAGGGGGATGGCGATGCTGAGTCGCGCTGGCGGCGGCTCTCGTACCTCTTACGGCCGGATGGCGAGCTGAGAAGGGCTTCGACGGGCGACTGCGGGGGCCAGTTGGGCTGGTTGTTCTTGACTGTCACTAGAGTCAGCGCACGCATGGCACCTTCGTATGGGCGACTTACCTTTTGACTTGGGGCTCTCCCGCACAATCATTGTTGTGATGGTGCAATATCGGATGCGCTATCTCGCAGTGGCCCATAGCAACGCCAATACTGGAAGCGGGAAAAGCAAGATGGGAAACAGTCGATCGTCAGGCAGGACTCACAAGCGCATAGCCCGGTCCCGTAGCGTTTGTTGACACCGGACTGTGGTTCACCCCAGACTAATCTAATCCGAAACCGTGACGTGACAGGGATTGCGCGTCTAAGGTTGCGCCCACGCGACGCGCTTGAACTCCGATTCCACCACGAACTCGATACACCACATTCAAGACTGTATATGCCCAATTGGACCAGCAGACACCTCGCAATGGCGCGCACACGCTCGAAACCCGCAAAGGCCGCTACTAAAGAATCCACGCCCGAACCTACCACCACAGCCAAACCGCTGCCCGCAAGCACATCGAACCCCCCGAAACTGTTCGTATTACCAAAAGACACATCCAAAGACGCGCGCATAGTCAGCCTCGACAACCCCGCAAATGATACACCATCACGATACTACTTCTGCCCCCAGAAAGGGTTCTACGAGTTCACGCGCATCGCTGCGCCAAAGAAAGACTTCAAGAGTTGGTTGATAACAGGAGAGAAGAGCGAGGATGGCACCACCGAGGAAGCAGACGCCTCACGGGTAGGCAGCGGCTACATCACCAAATCCGCCGATCTCTTCATCGCAACACCCATCGACATCCTCTTCCTCATCCTCCCCGCCCTCACACCAAAGTCAGCAAAAGACACGAAGCAACACTTCCTCGCCTTCGATGACTACCTCGACACACTCTCATCCGCTTCACCACATTGGAAAGCGCTGTTATCGCAATATCCTACCCTAAAATCAATGATAGAAACCAAGATGCGAAGGATATGCGACAAAGTCGACGCAGGCGAAGAGTCCATGTACCGCCTGTCCCACACCAAGCTTCTCGAGGTCTTTGTCGCAAAGGCCGAGCGCATGGTGAAGAAGGGGCTTCCGCCATCGATGGAGGAGAGATTCATCAAGACAGCCCTGGAGATACCCGTCATGAGCATAAAGCGTGAGGAAAGCACACTAAGCACCATTACACCAACCCCCGACGGTGACTCAGAAAAGGAGAACAGCACAACAGTCGACTCGCAAACAAGCGTCACAACAACAATAACACCACCCGACGACGCCCCCTCAAAACCCACCCTCACAACACCCCCCGAAATCCCACACCTCCTCCGCCTCCGCACATCCCTAACCTACCTCCTCTCCTCCTACACTCCCCCCTCCCTCCGCACACCCTTACTCGCCCTCCTATCCCCACGCTTCACACCCCTCGACACTCACCTCACCGCCATCGCAACGCTTAAATCCGAAGCGCTGTCTCTACGCAGTATATCAGACAACATCAGTCGTAAACGCGCGATTGAAGAAGACGAAGAGAAGATTGCCGAGAGGGAAGAGAAGAAGCGGAAGAAGGAGGATGAGGAGAGGAAGAAGAAGAGTGAGGGGAGGGGGGTTAAGGCTCTCAAGAAGGTGGATACGAGTGGGATGAAGAAGATGAGTAGTTTTTTTAGTGTTAAGCCAAAGGCGCAGGGGAAGTAGGAGGGGTGGGATGGGTGGAGGAGGAGGGGAGGTTGGATTGCATGTGTACGATAGTAGGGAAGCTTTGAAGGTATGAGGTTGGAGCACCACAGGTTCGGTGATGATGATCATCACCATAGTATTAAGAAATTGAATCAAGATGAGCCCTCTCTCGCACGGGCAGCGCACTCAATGATCTTGTACTCATTCGGTTTTGGTACAACCCGGGCAGAAGGAGAAGAGCCGGAGCCATGAGTCTGACCTCGGTCTATTTTGGGACTCCAGAATTAGAGCTGTCGTAAAAAAGGTTAGAACAAGAACCCCAAGGGGTATTTATACACCTCCCAGTCCTGCGCTAAGAGCAATTATGATCCGCCGTAAGATTTAGTGAACGAGAGTAACGCACTCCATGAAGTTGTTGGCCCAGAGTTTTGGATAATAACCCAGGGGGGAGAGCAGAGCCGGAGCCATCGCTCGTCTTTACTCTTTGTTTTGGAACTCCAGAATCGGAGGTGCTGTAGAGAAGAGAGAGGCAGAAGCTGGAGAAGTATTTTAAATATACACGTCCCGGTTGTTCGCCGAGAACATCGCCTTCTTGTCGTCGAATGTTAACACCGCGAGCAACGCACTCCATGGGTTGTTGATGAAGAGTTTTGGAAAATGATCGAGAGAAGAAAGAGCAAGAGTCGAAGCCAT